AGTGAAAATAGCAAATATCACAGCATTCTTCTACTAGCTCTCTAAAATGCAAAATTTATTTGGAGAGACTAAAAAAGGGAGCACTAATTAACTTCCTATACTCGAGATTCTGTTTAAGTCCTTCAGCAGAATTGAGACAGTTATAAAGCTATCTTATTTCCAACAACAGAAAAGAGCACATGAAGATGGAAAGAAAAAAGGAGAACTCAACAGACCTGTGCTAACAATGCGTGTGTCTGCACTGCACAGTGCAGTGGCTACAGCATAGCCATATCCAATTACTTTCTAGTTGTTCCACTTAGCTTTTTTGGGTGCAGCCAGACTAGCAAAAATGCCAAGATTTCTCATTTCAAGCCTTAGAAGGACAGACATTTATTTAAAAAAAAAACAGCTGAAAAAGGTTGGGTGCATATGCCACCAGTACTGTTGGGCCCACATGTAAAAATCACAGTGGAAAATTAGAAATGCATTCTCATTCAGTCTTTCATTTAGATAATACAAAGTCTCCCTAATTGTTTCTGTGGCGCTCGATTTGTGCTGGAGTAGGACTGTAAGAGTGTTATCCCTTGGGGAATAGGGATCGTCATGAAAATGAGATGTGAATCTTGTCTGGCTGCCTGACGTGTATGAAATTTTAACTAGATAAATCCTGATACAAGGAATTTTGTTAGAACTGCTGAATAATAATTGTAAAAGTTCTGGAAGTTGATTTTTCCTGCTCTGGTAGCAATTATAATGACTCAAGATTAATTTTAGCATTAAAAAAAGAGGTAATTGCAGTACTTAAAACCCTGAGGCAAATCAGTGGAAACGCTTTGGAAAGGATAATTATACCTGCATGAAGAAGACTATCTGTTTAATAGCATTAACTGGTCCAATTAAGGAGAAGTGGAGGAAGGGCCAATTTGTTACTTCTTTAACTATTCTCTGAAAAAGTGGTTTGTTTTTTCCAAGTTGATTCCCCAAGGTTTAAACATTTTAAGGACTGTTGGGGGGGGGGAGGAATCTTGTATCTAGTTGTCATTAAGTGCTCAACATCACAGACATGCTGGTGTTTCACCATCTAAACAAGAGAGGGGTGGGGTGTATTTATGCAGCAGGCATTTTGTTTCACATCGTTAACCTAATCTGGCCATAATCCCAGACTAAACATCCATGAAAAGATCATTATTAATCAGGGGAAGATGGGACAAGAAAAGGATTCTTTGTTGTTCCAGAACAACAGCAGGTTTGGGCTATTTTACCACTGATAAGAGCTAGAGCAGGCTGCAGGCTGGCTGAATGCAGCGTAGGATCTACTGCCATAAAGCTTTCCCTAGAGCTTGTGGCTTTAACATAAATAGTGATGTGTGTGTCTTTAAGTACAGGTGTGGAAACGTGTGTGTGTACGCACACCAGTCATTTGCAAACTAATGCAGGGATTTTGTGTCAATGCCTTCTGAGGCAAGAATACATACTTGCTTATATAAGCAGGCATGGATTTTACCAGGGGGAATAGGGGGAACAGAGTTTTAAGAGGGTTTTAATCCTTCCATGAATCCTTATCTTTCACTTCCTTGCTGTAGTGCTGGCATTGCTTCTGGCACTTCCCTCAGATCTTGAGTGGTTAAAAAAGTTTTAACTAAAAGTTAAAAGCGAAGGCCCAAACCCGCTTTGTGCAGTTGCACAAAGGTAGTAGCGCTGTACCGAACGGGCAGCACTATCCTTTTCAGAGTTGTAGCACAGAGACAGGATGTTTTTCTCGGCCAGTGGTTATTTTGAGCTTTCTAAGGCTGCCCTTCACCAGTTGGAATTGCAGAACATAATTTAGGCAACAGACAGCTCTACCATCGTTAAAGCAAGCATACCCTCTGTTTCATAATCCAGGTAGCTAATAGCACAAAGGCAGTCTTTCATATCAGCTATGGGTTTATTTCTGTATCTACCCACAGATAGATGCATAAATATATATGTATTTATACCTACAGAGTATTAAAACAGCATTCCAAAACAAAACAATCCCCTGAATACATTTATGCCTGAGCAGACCCCACAGAAACTGATACAACAATGGTAATCACGTTCAGGGCACTGCTTGAAAGATGTCAGCCAGTGCTGTCTAGAACATAAAACACCATCACTATCACTGTGCTGGCTGTACCCACAGAACTCACTGCAAAAAGTGAGTTTATTTAATTACTTAAATACAACGAACTAACATGCCATTAAAACAGGATGATGTAATCACTAAAAGGATAACTAGAAATTTCAGAGTTAGAAATGTCTAAATTAGAATGAATAATAAAAAGCATTTTAATTTTGCAAAATTTAAGGTGACGAGTTCATTTTCTCTTTTTCAGTGAGAATATCAGCAGTGGACAGAAAGTTAAACAAGCTGAACATCATGGACTGTTACAGTACAATACTTGATCGACCATATGCAAAAAAGATATTAATATATAGCCTGAGAGGTGGTATGACTGGAGCAGCAGGAGAGAAATGAGTACTTAGCAATAGGTATGTTTGGTTTATTAAAGTCCAGATCGTACAGTAGCTTTACATAGCTTTATTCAAGTAGAATGATCTAGTCCAAAGAGAGGTTCTCTGAGCTCTGCACTGCAATTAATCTTCCCATTCTTTTGATCAATTGCAGACACATACCTTATCACTCCGATTAAATGACCCTAGTGCATTTCCAGTCCCCTAGCAGCATGCAGTCTACTGGTGCTTGATGACTAGCAAGGAAATGACTGACCGCAACACATGATTTTCATGGGGCGGTCCTTTAATGATTAATAAAAATATGAATGGCACCACAACAGCCTCTCTTCTCAATCTCAGCTTCTAAAAAGAAAAGCAGGAGCCAAAGATGCTAAAACTACTACCTGTTAAGATTTTTTCAACAATTAGTCACTTTTGCCTCTCCTAATCAAAATTATGCCTACATGTTTATATTCTAATATAAAATCTCATCATTTGCCTTGAAAATAATTTTTTTCTTATGACAGAAATGAGAAAAATGCAGTGATTTTAAGAGAATGTTGAAAGCCGCAGTAGATCCCCAGAAAAGATGGCACATCTCATGATCTTCTTTGATGGAAGGACAGCACCAACCTCTCAAACACATAGCTTTTATCAGCTCTGCATAAGTTAAGAAAGGGTTAAGGAATGTACTTGGAAAATTTTTATTTTCATCCTACATTTCTCCACCACTGAGGCCTACTCAGCTCTAGATTTTTAATTTAATCCATTTTATAAAAGCCTAATTGCAAAATTGTATGGAGTTAGGCTAAGTTCTGTATTTTCCTTTGATGTGGGAAAATTCAGCCTAGATATTAAATTCTCACTTCATCTTCTATCTAATATATATACTTGACTGAAAAACAACCAGCTTGGACGTGTTGCTATAAGGCACACAATAAAACATAGACCCTGCTCCAAAAGTTTTTGAGTGTCTTAATACTGCTGATGCAATTGCATAAAAATCTAATTTTGGGGAAACGTGATGCATCCGCCCCATCCTATGCATCCAAAGCCCAAATTTTTCCAGTAGGTAACTGAACAAGAATGAGGTTAAATGGCGATGGTGTATGTTGAGCCAAAAAATATTAAACAAACACCTTCCCACTCCCCCCAAAAGAGCAAACCTCTTCCTCTTCTATTATAAACAAAGGTAGAAACTGAATCAAAGCATCTTCACTTTTGTCCTAGTATTCTATTCATTCAGTAGAATCAGAGGTGCATTTTTAATAGTTTGTCCTAGAAGTAGCGCATTACTGACTGTTATTAGAATTACAAACTAGTAATGTTGAAACTAATTAACAGAATAAAAGAGCTGACCCTGCTGGAGAGCCTATGTGTAGCCGTCTCGTTTTGAATGTAAGCAGATTAGACTAATGGGACTTCAAGACATCCATATGCAGTACGGAGAATATAACCCCCAGTATTTCAACATTTAACAACTAGCATTATTTTCTTTAAAATGTCCTTCATGGTGGATATGACCTCCCAAACAAGGAATGCAGCAGATGAGTAGGTAGCAAAGACGTCCAGTTCTAGTGTCTTGGCGGAATTCCAACTTCAGTAATTATGCTCTGCTCTTAAATTCCCTCTGCAGCTCTCCTAGAATAAAGCTCTTTTTCAGCTGTCCTGAAGCATTGTGTAGTATTTCTGTGAAGCTGTACAACACTGAAAAATATCTCCTCCCATTAAAACTGCAAGGGGAATTTAGGTAGACAGAAAGCTATTACCAGACTTTGAATTTGGGCAGAACACCAAGGTTAACTTATACTTGCATTGGGATCAAGGGATCTTTGCTGACTAGGAGTGTCAGACCCTTGTTAAAGAGCACAAGTGGGAATAGCTTACGGTGCTGCCTGAATACAAACTTGGAAACTTGGATCTCTGCACCTGGAAGCGACCGCAGGAATGTTTCCTAACAAATGACTCTATATAAAAGCCTCTGGTGCTGTAGAGTATCTTATCACAACCTTATTTGGTTATTTACTAATATTTCTGAAATTATTTTTTGATAAAAAAGTTCCAGCAACTTTAAAAAAAGAACAACCCACATTTTAAAAAGTCTTTACCAACAGAAAAGCAGCTATATAACCCAATTATGCCAAGGCAAGTATCTGAATTTCAGTAAGTAGATATACCAAGAACCACTCAAAGAGTATTTAGGCAAGCTGAACCAGGCCTGCAGTACTAGGAAAGCATTCTACGCTGTGCTAAATAGAGACCTGTAACAGTTTTCCTAGCCTCTAAATTGAGACTTATTTAAAATGTTTAGGTATCTGGCTCCCAAGTTAGTTTACACCCAAAACCAAAAAAGTCATTCTTACTAAACTAGAATAATTTAGAACAATCACTGTACAAATTCCTGTAGAAAGGAAAAAAACTCTCCAAATCCATCCGCATACACGGAGTCTGTTTGCTGTTTGTATTTTGTGCCTTTTTTTTTTTTTTTCTTTTCTTCCAGTTGTTGCCTTTCTTTTAGTAGATGCCTTTCTTTTTTCAGATCAGGGCAGCTGTAAACTTGGTGCTTTTATTTCACCCATTTCTTTAATCTCAGCTTTCTCCTATTTTCTTGTCCGCAGCCACCTCAGAATAGCCAGCACAGCGACACCAAAGCCAGCAATCAGTATCACCACTGACACCACAGCACTAACGCCAGCAACCAGTCGTCTCATGTAAAACACTGGTGGCTTTTCATCAACATAGTAAATTCTTATTTTTTCAATATCCAGAGCATCTCCATTGACAGAGACAGTTAATGTTCTGTTAGAATGAAACACGGAGTCATCTTTTACATCTTTTTCAAAGTAATAGGCTACATCAGCTATATCTACATCACACCTAGATTTCTCATTCTGGTTCAGCTGGATTTGGATCAGTGGGGAATCATACTTAACGTCTGCGATGTACTTGGGGTGCAGTTTGTATCGGCTCTCAAACAGATGTTTCAGGGCGTTTGCTACAGCAGGAACATCGAAGGCACTGCACCTTTTTTTGTGCTTCAGCTCAATGTAGATCCAGCTTGTTCTAACAAGTTCTCCGCAACTCAGGCTTTTGTCACCCTTTTCGGTTCTTCTTACTCCAGCAGTGTTCACACACCAGCAAGTATCGGCTTGATTACACTGCCTGGCTTTGAAGATACCACTGTCCTCACAGTCTGGATTGTAAATGCCATCATTAACTAACAGCCCAGGGGGATGGCCCCAGAAGCGCTTCTTCGGGGGGGTAATTTCTGCCTTCATCAGCAAGCATTTTGAAGTCAGTGTAGAACAGTCTACCTTGTGATTTGAACCCACCAGCGTGCAGGTGCAGTTCCCAGATCCGTCCTGGGCACATGCCGTCCACTTGTTGGTCGCGCAGGTACAGTTGTTCTGCACTGATGAAGCTACCACCAGAATCAAACCCAGCAACACCCCGAACAGAAGCTCCATATTGCAGGTGAAAAGTGTGGATAAAGTCCCCAGTGACAGCAGGCGATATCTGAAGCTTTAATCCATTCACAGAGTCTACTTGTTTCTACACTCTGGCAAGCTGCTCCCTTTATCAAGATTCAAATCAGACCCACCAAACAGGTTCTCCTTCCAAAATAACTGGCATCTCGTACCCAAATCCTGGAGAAGTCAACAAGCTGCACTTTCATCTATTTCTTCTCAGGGAGCGGCACCAATGCCTGCCTCCAGATGCCTGCCATCCCTCTTACTTGATGAGGAAACAACAGGGAAGAGACAAAAGCCAACCTGAAGCATAGCTCCTACCTCGGGCTTCCCTTATGGATTAAGGCACAAGCAGCTTGCCCTTTTCCTTCTTTAGACTTTTTATGGACTATGTGAATGCATGTTTAAGGCATTTCTCCCATTTCTGTTGGAAGAAATCCTACTCTTCCACTTCCACCATGGTTTTTCCTGAGTCTTCCATCACACAGCTTCTGTATCATTCCACTGTCTAGATTCTTCAGTTATGGACTTCCTCCTTTCTACTTTTGTGTATTTATAAAATAAAGCCTTTTAGAATTTTATGCATGCTGCCTGGAGTAGCTGCCAGTTCAGGAGGAATGACTGTTCATCAGTTTGATGGCTGCTCTCCTACTTACAGAGCACAGGAGCACAGTCTTATCTTCCAGCACCGAACGCTTCTCTCCCCCCTTTCCTTTAGCACATACTCATCCCAAGGCAGTACTAGGAATGATGATTTTCATGCTTGCATTACCCTTACAAACTTGTTAGCCGTTTCTGAAGAAATTTTTCAATCTGAACTTTGAGTAATGCCTTTCGCAGTACACTCCAGTGGCTCCCAAGTGTCCTAATGATCTACAAAGCATGAGTTACCGTTTCCATGTGTTTTGGCAGCTGCTGAAAGATATTTTCCAGTTTGCATTAAGCAAATCCATTCATCTGATTTGTCAAACACTGTCAGACACTTCGTAAATCATTATTTTGGGACCAGTGACGACCACAGAACAGCGTATGCACCATTCTCCCATCCACACAACTTGCACACTGCCTTGCAGCCAGCTCCTTTTACTGGTGCTGCGGTTTTCCTGAGGACCAACCCTGCTTCAAATCAACGCAAGCTGGGCTACTTGTAGCGATGGCTTTCATCTGTGTGAACAGTGGGAAGTTACCCTGGCTGCCAGTGAGTATAACACAATATAGGTTTAAAATTAGAGCTCCAGATGTAAATACCCTGTACCAGTAGAGAAGGGCACAATCTGGAGTTGAACTCTGCAGCTAGACTTATTTCTAAATAAGCCACAGAAACAGACGCTACTTGAGGGAGCAAAGATGAGACGGTTCTTCAAATTATTCCTGGCTCCTTTATAGCACGTTATCACACCTCTCCATTTCCCCTTCCTTCAGATAAAAATAACAGTAGTTACCTTTCTAAGAAAATAATTGAGCTCTACAGTTAAAATTATTATAAAAATTGCTAGGTATTTCAAGTTGTCATACTGACGATTCTTTGATAATAGTTTGGTAACTCTTTTCCCATTTTTAATTTAAGTCATTCATTTACCTGGAATAATCTGTTTTTTAAAAAAATTTCACATCCCTCCTTCATTTAACTGTCACCTACATACTCGTATCCTGTCTTTATTTTATCTCACATTATGAACTTTAGAGAGAGTAGGTTTTGTTTTTCTTCTCTCTGGAGGACAGAGCTTCAACTGCTGTAAACTTACAGCTCACAACCCGCTTCAGCAAAGTGATGGCAATTTCTATATGGCTGAGAGCTGCGCTGCCCTCGTGCTTACAAAACACCATATGGATGGGCAGTCTATAGTTGTTTGTATGATGTTTACAGACATCCGTGTTTGGTCTCAGCCTCATATCATTTGACAGTTTCCCCTTTTTACAGACACTTACAGTGAAGTAGAGAAAAATTAACTGGTTTGTCAAAAGTAACATATGGAAGAAAAACCATAGGTAACTAAACGAGATGGTCTGTTTTCCCTACTGGTGGAAGACTCATTGCTGTTACCTTCATTAAAATCTGCATTGTCTCTTGGTCTCATTGTCTCTCTCTCCACCTCAAAGGTGGCCAGAAGCATGACGATGGTTTTAGAATATACCCATGACCAAGCAAAAAGTGTAGAGCAGTTGCAAGAGAAGGGCAAAGAAGGAATAATTTTAAGTTTTCCTGACAGAGCTGCATAAATTGCCAAAATTAAAGTGCCCTTTTGCATTGACTTTTTTGTACTGGTGGATTTCCCTCTCTGTAAATAAGGAGAGAACAGACTTATTTTAAAGACAGAAGTCCTTCCAAATGTCTGTAGACATATAGATACATATATACATAAAAATATATATATTTTTATATGTATGTAATGTCCCTATGACACTAAAAAAATAAAAAGTATTATTTCCTTTAATCCATGCTAAGCTGTAATGGCACTACAGGAGTTAATTATTTAGAACAGCAGGCTGTAAAAGGAATAATCCTGTAGGAAATGTGGAGTGCATTATTTCTTTAGTGATCTCTGCTTCCATGGAAACAATTTCTCGGCACAATTCTAAATCTCATAAAAATAGGGCACTAGGTCTATGTAAAACAGCAAGACATTTCCAATTAAACAACCAGAATGCTTTTATCTAGGCCATTAAATACTTTGTTCAATATCAAATATGATTACAGCGTTCACTGGGATGTTAACAACCAGCTACTTCCCATGCGCGGGCTCTGTGGGGCCGGATGAAGTCACCCAGCACGCATCCCGACGTCCCTCGCCTCCTCAGCGAGGGTCGCAGCAACAGCGCAGCGTGCTTCCTTCCCCTTGCAGAGGCAGGGCTGCACTGCTCTGCCGCACCAGGCCTTGCGAGGTGCACCGCGCACCTCCGTGCTGCTTGCCTTCCGCCTCCACGGCGTCTCTTTCCCCTACATGACACAATACCCTCATGGCTCAGTAATGCCCAGCAGACCAAACTCTCTGCTAGCACAGCAGGGAAGAGTTAATCTGGCTCCGGCTGCTGGCAGAAATAGAGCTGGAACCAACACACTTGAATCAAATTTGGGTAATGAATATAGTTGTTTGAAAGGTAATCTGATGGTCACATTCAGAATTCACTGGAGTTGCCATGAAAACAAACCCGTTACTTTACTTCAGTGATCCTACAGCCACTGTGAAAAGTGTGGAAAATGCCGATCTACCAACCTGGCATCCCTGCCACAAAGCACCACTGGATAATTTTCTGAAGGAGACTAAAGCAGAGGGTTTGTAAGAACAAATGAAAGAAATAAATCTATACCAAGGTACACAGCTACTGCCCATAAAATTTAATCACTAGCCAGAAGTTTACATGCACTAGTAAGAACAGTTTTGCTCTTTGTTCAAACCCGGTTTTGTATCAGCGGTGACAAAGCTCCCTCCAGTGGTATTACACATCGTTGAACCACTTGGTGGTTGTTACTGACGGAGTAAATACCAGACCCGGTGCTCGAGAGACAAGAAGCTATTACAAATACGGAGCACATCTTTCAAGATACCGCATATACAGTCTTTATTAGTACACTCTTGTACACCATCAGTCAGGAATATCAAAGCAGCAAGCAAAAGGAAAAAAGTACTTAGTATCAATGGCAACAGCGTTAACTTTTTTTGTTTGGCTGGTTTTCGGTTTGGTTTTGTTTGTTTGTTTGTTTTCCTCAACTGAATTGTTCTTGGAAAGTTACTTATTTAAAAAAAAATATGGGCATTCCCCTCCCCTCCCCTGGAACACAAGGTGTATATCCCTGTGAAAAAGCACTGCTGACAACTGGCATAGCAAAACTTGACTCAGCCAACAAATGCCCATAAAGGATATGTGCCAAAAGTTATATCTTAGGGGTTTGGGGTTTTGTTTGTTTGTTTGTTTGTTTTTTAAACTGTTGACTCTTCCAGTTTAAATTGTATCATTCTACTTGCTACTCAAGCATTTCCCATCTCCTGAGCAACAACTTGGCAAGGCATAACAGCTGGTCTTACATAAAGAAATAGTGTATTAGACGGCAACAGGTACACTAAAACAAAGCTAGCAGAAGAAGAATTGCTGGATGGAAAAAAAAAAAAAAAAAAAAGAGCTTCCCAATAAAAATACATAATGCCTTATATGTGTTTGGTAGCAGAACTGGTAGTATTAGTAAAATAGATTTTTATCTTCTTAGAAGCATGCAACTTCCAAACTTGTATTATTAACCACACAGTCAAAATAAATTATGAAAAGTAAGTTAGTTATTTTCTTACCATGGCTCCTGCCAACAAAATTGTTACTTAGCATCACAAATATGGTATTTCCAATTCACATACAATACCGTGTGATAATACTGGATTACGATGGTACTAGCAGTTATATTTCCTCCCACACCACCCTGCTAATGAACTCCTAGGAAGTCTGGAGTCTGTGTGTGCATATCAAAGGCTCAATACTTTGAGAGGCACCATGTCCTCTTCTCAACAGACAAGCTGCTTCAAAAGTATGTGTTACTCAAAACTTTTCTTATGTAACATCACTGTTAAATCCAGTTAATACAACTGTATTACTTTAACTCATTGTAATCATTAGAGAAGCAGCCAGCACATTGTTACCACTATTTGGGTAATACTGACATCCTTCCTGAAATGGTTGGAAATAGACCATATGTGGACAACGAACATTATCTACTTCGTATCGCTACAAGAGGTTCAAAATTCTCCTCCTACAAATCAGAACTAATTACAGCTTTTAGTACATACATTTATACTGTGTGATTTTTCTAGAGAGTAACCTATGCAAAACTGCAAAAAAATACCTTGCACTGCAGACCACAACTAAGTAGGGAAGGAATGCTTTCTTAGCAGGAGTGTAGTTTAAACTAGAAATACAGAAAGCCATGCAGTATTTTTAATTAGAAAGTCCCAAAGATAACATTTTAGAATATCTGCAGACTGAGTCAACATGCCTTATATAGATGGATACACCAAGTTTGTAAATATACAGAGTAGTGGGATCTAAAGCTGCGCACCAGCAGATCTGAACATAGAAGAGAGCATAGAACATTCACCAATATTTTTAAGTCCATAGCTCTTGAACCTGCATTGGGAGAATCACCGAGTATCAAGGGCTCACATTTTCATATGATCAGGTTCTGCACCTTCCACTTAGTAACACAAAGAAACTAACATTTTATGAGGCATGGAAAAAAAAAAGTAATTTTAACTTCCTGTAAAGGAGTTCCCTCCTTGGGATGCAACTCTACAATTTTAAAGCTTTTCAAACTCTTTATACAAACGAAAAACTGAAGTTAAAAATGTAAACAAATAAAATTTTAAAATTCCATTTGTTATGTAGAACTAGATATATACACACATATATATTTTTTTAAAATAAGAACTGACTCCACTGTCACCCCTCTAGATATAAACTCAAGGTCTTGCTTGCTTCATGTTTTCAAATATATTTTAGACCTCTCTGAAAAACTCTGCCCAAGATAAATCTGTGTAAATAGTAATAACTGTATACAAGTCAAGTTTCGTCACGATTTAGAAAGCAAAATTTAAAGCACATTTTTTCTAAAAAGATTCACAGTGATATAGCTCATGAAACATTTCCAAGTTGCAATCAAGAAACTTCTCAATCAAGATCAATCTGTTTATGATTAATTTATCTGAATATATCCTGGTATGAAATTATAACTGAAGAACCGATACAAAACAGTGTTTTCTTATTGAACTGCACATTATAGAGAAGACTCTCAATATAAAAGCTGGTGGGTGTTTTTCTTTAAAAAGACAAATACTTTTCTGCTTGTTGCACTAAGTTTGCCATCAATCAAGAGCTCTTGTTTCCACAGGAAACACTGGCAATTAGAAATGGACAAATCACAATGATCTGGCAGAACAACATAGTATCTCCCTGTAGAATGGAAGATCAGAAAGATTGCAACCTGTAATAAGACAGGAGTTACCATTTCCACTGGAAACAAGCACAACTACTACTGAGAAGTCATGAAAACTTGCCAGCTTTTCCTCCCCGAATACAGAAGCAAGATGGCAAAGAACATGCCAAAAAACCACTTGACCATAGGGATCAATGGGGACCAAAAAAAAAAAAAAAAAAAAAAAAAAAAATCAGATGATGTATTAAACCACAACTGAATAAAACTTCAGACTGGATACCAGGAAAGTTTTAAATCAGTGAGCTACAAAATTTTCATTTCAGTTAAGTTGTAAGTTTCTCTTTTGTGAATTCATTCAAACTTACAATTTCTAAAGCATTAAGGAACAAATTCACTCCTAGTTAGGTGTAGTGCACCTGTAAATAAAAAATAAGAGAAAATTCCCAAACTGAAAGACTTGAGAGAGGACAAACTCTCCTTGAAGACTGAAGCACAGTATTCTTGCCAGGTTGTCCTTCTTCCCAAATGGCAGACTTCTGGTCAATCAATTAATTCTGTGGCACTCATTTTGTACAAAATGTTAGTATTAAGCGTTCCTCGTGTAGTCAGGTCACACACATTAGGAGTTTTTCAAAGTATGCTTAAACCATAACAATAAGCTGACACTGGATTCTGTAACAATTATTAAAATGGGTAATAATTCTGAAAGAGTTGACATAATGGGGAGGAGGGGAAGAAAGTGAAAAAATAAAATCAAAATTCCATAATTTTGTTTAGCCATCACATTGGCAATTCATTTGAACATTCATTCTCATTTTCTTCGGCATTACTCTTTTTCTCACTCTTGTATGTGGAAAGGAATAAGTTTTCTATCTGAGTCAAGAACTCTTCAGCAATGAAGCAATTTGTTACCTTGCCCAAAGTCTTCCTCATGCACTCCAAAAGCTAGTCAAAAGAAAAGAAGATTTTTTTAAATTGTCATTTTTCCTGAGTTTATTTTTTTCCCCTTCTAGCTGATAAGTATTCTAAAGGGATTTTTATTTATTTATTTAGGATTAACACTACAGAAAGTGTTCAACTGTACAACATAAATTTTAGAAAGGAACAGTCACACAGGAACAGATGGGTGATTTAAAACCAATTCTTTAAAACCAATTACACAACAGCTAAACTGAAGAGTATTCTACCAACTCAATTTTAGATTTAAGCTGTTTATAAGCAAAGTCATGTTGAGAGAGAAAAAAAAAATTAGATGTGAGTAATCATTGTGTACGTGTTTTTTGTTTATGTCTTTTGCTTTGGGCAGGTTTTCCATCTTGTTTGTGCAATTACTGTTACAGCTGTAGTTATTTAGAGCTTCATAGCAATGACTGCACTGACTGGAAAACTGAAGTTCCCACTTATGCGTGACAAACATGGCACAGCACTACTTTCCTGACTGAACAAAGGACTAGGAAGTCCAAATCTTCTCTCGAAAGGCAGCCAGTTCTCGACACTGAAAGCATACAACATGCTGAGAAGAGACATTATTAATTTCACATTCTTTCTTCTCCAAACTGAGGTTGAAACTTGGTATTGGCATGTAACCGTTGTCCCCAACTCTCTCACGTGAACAAATGTTATTTTCATTGTGTTTGTACGCTAATAAGCTGTGCTACAGATGTCATTTATTGTGATTAGTTTACATCTCTGATTTGTAAAAATGTAACTTCAGGTGACTTCTGAGGATATGAAACAGATTTGTATTTAAAGAAACATTTAAAATTTAAAAAAAGCTAAATTAAAAGCTAATTAAAAAAAGAAAACTTACTTTCTGCAAACAAGTCAGGTCAGAATCTCTGTGAAAAATTTTATTCATGGGGACACTGCTGTTGAAAGAAAAACAAATAGTAGTGCTGAAGAAAGCAGACGCACATCTTTATTGAAACATCAATAATAAACATGCAAAAATTCTAAACTGGCTATTCTTTATAACATAAGTAGACATATACCTATGGCAGAATCTGTATTTTTCAATTATCCATCTCGTTTTTTCAAATATTAATTCCCACTGAGGTTCCTCCAACATCTGCTGTACTTCAAATTTGTAGGGCAGGCCTGTAATTGAACATGATTATTCAGTGTTTCTAGTACGCTCAACTTCTTTTTCTTTTTTAGTTTTAGGTGCAATCCCATCCTTCCCCATAACTGTTCATAATTTATCACCGACTGCAGAAGCTTGCAGTCCCATTACTTGCCAACGTTAAGGAGGTTAAAGTAAAAGTATGATTCCAAATTTAATTTTGGTGGGAGTAGGGAACAAACCTGTTCTCCTCCCTGCCCTTGCCAATGCCTCATGCCATAAGGAAGCACACAGAAATCTACAACGTAACAGAAAAATGGTGAAATAAACTGAGTTTTTATAACCTAGTACCACTTACACTGTTGTAGTCTAAGATCTATGTCGTTATTAAGTGAATAAAAAAGGTTTTGTTTTTCATGTATGAACTGGCTGATGAAGTGGCTGACCATTGTTCTGGATTTCAGAGGAATTTTGTTCCTAAAGGAAGAAATTCTTCTAGTTTATTGCAGGAGGGGGAAGAGGAATTTAGAAAGTATTCTAAAGGAACACCTGAAAATTACTTGCAGAACACAATTCAGTTACCAAAAATCAGGAGAAAGAAAGAGACTGTAAATTTCAGTAAGTCATTAAAAAAAAAAAGCGCCTTTCCAAGATCACAAGAATTTAATGAGGTGAAACGCATGCTTTCCAACTATACCTCAGAGTAAGCGAAAAGAAAGCAATAAATACAATTTGCTATTTGAACACTGAAAATGTTGAGTGCAGAATGCATTTCCAAGAGTAAGACCTAATCTATAGAAATATTTATGGCTCATATGAAATACTAGTTTTTGTTCATTTGCTCAGTACTGTAGTGCTACTGCCACGGTGTAACTTTTCGAAAGAGCTAGAGGAGATACCATTTTGTAAAAAGTTGATTTCAGGAGAGAAACATAAATATTAAGCCATCTCAGACAGAAAATGTATGTGACCAAAAAAATGTCTACTTCTAAGGGCAGATAAAGTTTCTAAGTATTTTAACTCCACACTACAATAGGAAACGAGGATGAAATTACGGTTCTATCAGTTCGGTAAACAGGAATTATTGCACAGATGTGGCCACCACTTCACATCCCCTAGGACTATGAAGCAAGCCTGCAGGCAGATGGTCTCCCTTACTTACTTCCACAGGAAAAAACAGAGGGGGAACTGTCGGGTCACATGGCCGCTGCTACTGCCTTGCCAAGAACATTGGAAATCTCGGAGTTTGGATGCAAAAACAGGGGGAGGGAGGAGGAGAGAGAAGAGGCAGCTACCATAACCATATACTGTTATCATGGGAATTTTCCTCAAATTTATGTCAGGGAATGAGCAGAAGATCTGATCATCACTTGAAATACCATAAATTTTATATGGTATGTTCTTAACTATTCAAGAAAGGAAAACATCCCATTTTCATGAAATGCCAATGACATTTTTAATCAAGAATTTGTTCTCTTAGGTTGGATTCATGCCAGCGCAGCATTTCATCTTTCGTATCTTGTCTTTTCCTGGACATCTGGCAAGTTCAACCCTTTGACCTTCTGAATGCTAAGTTACTCAAATAAGGATTCTTGGCCGCTGTAGCAGCCAATTCTTTGCTATTATACTTCTGTCTCCTCGATAGAGGATCTGTTCAGAATTTCGTAACACAGCAAAGTCTAAGTATTATATGCAAAGCAGTTTCTCAGCTATTTATATGGATACTGTATGTAAATAACAGTGACCCTTTGTCCCAACCCTTTAATTTCTTTCACAGATTGTGAGAAATACTAATACAAAAAAACCAATCTCCTATCTATTTATACTTATATATTCTTGTCATGACAACGTCGATTACTTGCAGGATTACTCTTCAAGTGAAATTCCTGGGTTTGTACAGCACAAGTTACTAACATAAATATATAAATACCTATTTCTCAAGTTCAAGAATAGACAACATTTTTCCCCTTAGTATCCAAAAGGAAAAGAAAAATTAAGACAATGGATAAAATATCAGTACTTACGGTAGGAACCATCAGAACTGATCTCATCGCTAATTACTAGACAAGTAATCTCAGAATACGGAAGAGGATTATTTCGGTTGTAAGGACTTATAATCATTCCAATGAACATGGCACCACCCCTGGAGAAATAACTCTAAAAAACGAAAACCACAAAAAACCACATACAAGAAATACAGCCTTTTTCACAACAGCATTCCAAAATCAAAAAAAAAAAAGAATTTATGTCAATTTATGAATGAAGTTATTTTAAGATGCATTAGAGCAATAACGTGTATTAATGTTGTAAATACCAGGGAGGCTTTAGGGTTGTTGGGGTTTTTTTTGCTATTTATTCATTTTTAACGTACAGACTAGCAAGTACCTGGTATTTAGCTTGAGTGTCAATATCTCGTATTGAGGGGTTGGGGTCAAAGGCCGGGTGGGAATGGTACCATCCAATAACACTGTATCCTCTGGCAGCCAGCGTTTCCGAGGCCTGTGTTTGAGATACTGGATCCATCTCGCACTGCAGTCCCGTACTGAGACTATTGCACGGCTCTGCTGCACAAACCTGTTAAAAAAGTCTCCAGATGGATAAATGCAAGAAATCTGCATCAGTTAAATAAAATGTAAAGAATTTTAAGAGTCATATACCAGATCTTCCTCATGATAGAGCTGAAAGGCCAACACTTGAACATAAGCATAACTCTAACATTTCAAGACTACAGTAATTAACTTCAACTTTAATATATTTAAGTAGTTGCCCTTCAGAAATAACATTTACATCTATTCAAGTTATATATATTATCCTAACAATTTTAATATTTTAGAGAAAATGTAAAAAGACGAACACTTACTTCTACAATTTTATCAGCTTCAGAGTATCTTCCACCTAGTAGCCCGATTACTTCTGCCATAGACACATGAGAGTGCTAAAATGACATTAAACAATTATTAAAGTTCAAGTTGTATAATTTATCCTAGTTTTGATCTGCACACAACAGAATACATTGGCTACAAGTCAGTAATTTCTCAATAACATTTAGAAGGAAAATGTAGGACAGCTAAAGATTCTGAAACACCCAGTGTTTCCATTTAAAGCAAACAAAAAAGATTATGTTTGCTTATTATACAGACGCATGTACATAGTGCATTTGCGTAACACTTCCATACATGAAGCAATGCTAGCTGAAGCCTATGCAATGCTGTGCAGTGCTGAACAACTGCACAAATTCTGATACAACCTGTTGTTATTAAAAAACCACACGTTGCTTTATAAACACAAAATCAATTCCCAGACCAGTAGAAAATGAACCCATAAGATTTCAAAATGGCAGTCTATTTTAGAAAGTAGCTTTAAGCAAATTATATTTAAAGTATGACGGAGAGTAGTTAAGTAGTAACACTCTTCTTAGTGTACAACTGTTTACCTTCTAGAAAAACAAAGCACAATATAAAAAAACATTAATCTTTAGAGGCTTTATTTAATACTAGATTCTCACTTCTAGGTCTGAATGGAAAGAAGTTAACGCAAGTACTGTATTTCTCAATCTTCTTACGTTGCCCATTTAAAAAAAAAAACCACCAACCCAAAAAAACACAATACGTACATCATAGCTTATTGAAAGATAAAACTTAATCCTTACCAAATCCATTATTAAAAGTGCTTCGGAAGACACTTTCACCTGAAAAGGTTCCTGAAATGATAAATGCAATCATGAGTATAAGAAAAGTAACCTAAGTAATAAAGCATTCTTGATTATTCACTCATAGGTACATACCTGTTTTTCTTCAGTGAATAAACAGCATGGTATCAGCTGAAAGGGATCAAAGGAACTATAAAATGAAAGAAAATTTCTCTAAAGATGTAGGACAGTCAGGAAACTTTTCAAGTTTCCCACTGTCTCCTTGGCAGAGGAGGAATAACCTTGTTTTCTTTACTGAATTTTCTCATCCCACACTAGGATGACTTCCACCAAATAGAGAAACTTCACTACCCACACTTGTGAATTTCAATACGAAACATTTGAAACGCATACGAAACATGTTATTTCAGACTGTGATACATATTAATGATTTGCAGCCATCCACCCCAACACTACCCAGGACATTTGTATCATTTCTAGAAGATCTATGTTTGAACGTGAGGTACATCAAATAATACCTTTTTATTTGTCTTGAACCTTTAGAAGATTTTGCAGGTTTCAGTTTTTCTTCCTCTCTTCTTCTTGCTAATTCTTCAGCAGACAAATGCTAAAAAAAATTAAAAAAAGGAAATCCGTCTTAATGTCTTTAGTGCTCTTTCAGTAGTGATTCCAAACCCAGCCCCAAATAAATTCTTGACATCAGTGGCCTCTTGCTATGTGTGTTACAGGACTACTTAAGATAGAGGGCAACAGCCCTAGCAGAATCAAGCAGTGTGAAAGTAATGAGAATCAGAAATCTAGTCCACAAGATGCCTGATAAGAGAATTCTTACATTCCCCAAGTCAATCAAATTCAGTAAAATCACAGCCCATATTGCAAACCATGCATAAATGCAAGTGTGGTAACTAAGGAGAAAATCTGCCATTACAATCTGTGGCCAGAATTTTTCACGACACCTCTTTACGGATGAGTGTTTTCAAACTTCATTTCCATCAAAATATGTATTTTGCAGAAAGCGTTAGAATTATTAACCACAGTTATTCAAAAATAGGTATGGCGTTATAACATTATGGAAGTAATTGTTATAGATACTTATTACTGAAGGTTGCAAATTTAAGGTTTTCTATACAAGAGAAATAGGATGTTTACAGTTCTTCACTTTTTGTATAATTTGAAATTGTAGAAATGGACAAGTGGATATTTTCTTTCCAAGTCTTCTATAAAATATTTAAACTTGTATGAATTTTTCTAAGCACTTCATAAACCACAGTATTTCTGGGGCTATTGCTAGTAGCAGAATTAATATTAGGAACTCATATCACCTGCATTATAAGCACAAAGAAACCATATAGGACTGAAAAAAAAAAATTTAAATCTTATTCTTCTATACCCTACTGTTAGCTTTAGTAAGGCAGTTAACTGAAAACAAAGGGTCATGAAATCTCCTACAAGACAAGGCAAAGACCTTTATAGGCATAAAACAGTATAGGGCCATACATGCTCACAACATGAACACCTTTGTAAACACCAAAGTACAGCTGTATTTATCAGCAGCATAAAGATGTAACAGCTGCTACATTATTTTCAAATTATTGCTTCCACAGAGAGGTTAAGTACCTATTACACAACTGTTTCCTTTGTGTATTTGATGCAACACCACCTGCTAGCGATTAGCAGGAATTAATTCTGTAAGGAAAGTTTAAAACACAGAAGGGTTACCTCAAATGTCTGTCCTTCCAAATCCTTTGCATCACACCAGTTTCCCCAAGGGTCTCGCACTCGCCGTCTTCTTGTACGCTGCAGCAAGCAAATCAACGTGAGTCAAGGATCATACTCCTGAACAAACTGCATTTACTTCATTTAATCAGCCATAAGAACATTGTCCAAAAGGTTACTGCCACATGAATGTTACTAACACTATGACATATTTCGAGAAAAGAAAGAACACCGTGGAGTTCTGTAGAATTGAGTAGTTCACAATCTGGCATGAAATACCATCAGTGAAGTTTTCAGTTTTTAGGGCTGTAAAGAATAACACCTGGTTGATGCTCCATGGATCATCAACATCTCTGACAGCAACAGTGCATTATTATCCACCTCCAAATTATAGCTCAGACAATACAAAAAGCTGTAAAACCAGTATGTTTACATCTAGCGTATGCTGCAGTTCTTTATATTTAAATTTTTTTTTCGTGGGATTGATTTAGTTTTCCTCTCATCAATTTATTTTTCTATGATTTATTTTGCTATGAAGTACTGAAAAATGCTACACTAAATGTGAATATGAAAATTAAATCTGGCAAGCCTTGGTAATTGATGTAGTTTTAATGAGTTACTACTAATTGTATGCATAAGGCTCTCAGTAAGTCATATCATATACCTAGTATACTTAACAGTTAAAATGCAAGCAACTTAAATCACACGCTATCAACACACTCCACTATTTTCTGGCTAATTCAGGCTAATAAATTATGGAGAGGTGGGTAGGAAGGGATTGGGGCTGCAGGGAAAAGACTGAAACACAATTGTAGTTAAGTACCTGAACAGAAATCAAATGTCTAAGATAAGTTAGGGCAGACACCTGTCAGACAGCAGAACTTGTACTTAGACTGACAGTTGGATTACAGGGCATTCTAATGAAACTGCAAACTGAACGAGAGAAGAAATTTCCTGAGATGCTCTAGTTTGCAAATGAAAATTGAGAAGACCTTCTCCACGCTGAATGTTTTTTGCTGCCTCCTCCTCCCTCCCCAAAACGTACCATGGACTGCAAGCGCTGAGCAAGCTGGTACGCTTCCACTGTGTCTTTGCCGTCTTTGGACCGTGTTTTATCAGCTGGTTGGGGTCGGTTATAGACAGCCTGTTCTACAGGACACAGAAGAGAGATACACTGTACTTCAGTAAAGTATGAAGCCACATATTTCTGGTACAGAGCCAAGAAAGACATAGATAAGTGGTAACAACAAATGCCATACAGAAAAAAGCAACAACAAAAAAACCCACAGTGAAAAGACGTCTCTTGTTGGTCATATTACTAACAGATTATATAGCCCTCTCCCACTACCACAGCATTTTTAAGACAGGAAAACTTCCTTCCTTATTGTTAATTTATTTCAGACAAAGTGTATCTGCAGGCCATTCCTCCTCTCCTAGGTGACTGACATTCAGCTTTGGACCAAAATCAATCCAGAAGACTAAACCAAGAGTAACTTATAAGTGTATATATACTTTTAACATGTCACCTAATTTTAACATTTGAATCTTGTAAAAACTAGCCCTGAGGATGAAGACATTGTTTTTTATTTAGGAAATAGCTATAATTCAGTATGGGAAAAGAAACAATAACTTCAGTTCTGTCTTATATGGAGGGAGGGCAGAATTTCAGATACAGCAGGTATCAGGAAAAAAATCCAACACTGGACACACAGAAAAGCACAAAACAAAAAAAAAAAACCCCACCAGCTGGTGTGTGGTAAACATGGGGGGGGCGGGGGGAGGTGGAAAAAAGAAGAGAAAAAAAGAAAAGGTCTTGTGTTAAACCAAAAATCCATAATCCTATAAGCAGGTTACAAACTCCTCTAGATTTTCAAAGGTCATGAGAGACAATCTGCTCAGAAGGTCCTTCCTAGTAAGGATTAACGTGCATCCTTCTGTGTGATCAGTACACCCTAACATTAACCAGTCCTTCAATATTAATACCAAAAAAGGCTACAGCCATATAGGTTGGAACATGACTACACTAAATACAGTTCAAACAAAGATTCTCTTCTACAGAACTTAAATATAACAACAATTACTATTTAAGACATTAAGAGCGTAGAGAAGTTGGAAGATTATCCACGTGGATGCTTGATTCCGATTAAGTGCGGTCATCCACGCTTCAATGAAGTGAACTTATGACTTTTCTTTTAAAGACACACCTACTAACCTTAATGTTTACCCTTCACATGAAAATACTCATTTTAATAAAAAAAGCTGACAGTCAACAATACATGCATTCAGCATGTACTGATTAGAATTTAAGTTCTGAATTGATTCCAATAAAAATATCTTTACCACAGCCGAAGTTAATTGCTCCTATTAATTCCAAGTATGTGTGGATCCGTCCAATGCAGTTAACATCACCGCAGTTCTTAAGGCCTGGACGTACTGAAGTCTTATTCAGGTATTTGGGTTTACATCTCTCCCTAAAATAAAGTATAGCACATTGTCAAATAGTAACACAAATCATGGGAGGAGGAAGGAATTGTGCGACTTAAGCTGAGGTTAAGATGAGCCACTGAAGTGTTATTTTCCCCTCCATGATGCACACATTATGCACCACTATGCAGGGCAATCACAGCAAAAATAAAAATTTCACAAAACACATACAGTTTATTTTAGAGTTATTCATACACATTCATACTTATGCAGAGTGAAACTGATGTTCCATGTGTTAAAACAAACTCTTCAACACGACTGGTGCCAGGAAGCAATGAACTACTCAGAAGTACTATGATACTGTTAAACTGATACAAGAACGTCTGCATTAGATTAGTCTAAATAGCTCATACAATCATAGGCTTTCTTGGTGTAATAAATAAGCCTGTTTTCACTCTCTATGCACTTATTACTTGCTTTTAAACTGATACTAAATCATTTCAATTCAACACTTCCCTGGTATGGAATTTTAGAGTTTCTTTGCAACTAGAATAAGCTGTCAATACACAAGACAACTGATGAGAATAGAGTTAAACTCAGCAATTCTTTTTATTCAGAAGCAAGCTAACCAACACAACAAGCACACAAACCAAAACTGTTAACAGAACAAACTGTATATTGAGCCTGCTACCACAAATCACTAAGGTTCCTTAAACTGATTCTTTAGAGATGGAATATAAAATATTCAAGTGTACAAGCACTACTCTAAACTGATTCTTAATTTGAACTATTTTTCTGGTCAATATTATTTTTTCTAGCACAGATTATTTCTTCTAGCTGCCCTTCTGTAAAGGCAGTACTACAATGCTACAGATCTCATTATGGAATTAATTTAATCAGTTATTTTGAGGAACCATTTATTAAAACCATATATGCATTCTTACATGTAGGATGACAAAAATTGGAAGAAAATAACATAACCAAAATGGATGCAGCTTGTTCTGATATAGGACACTCAGTTTCATAATGCTTCAAAGTATTTTCATTGCTTAGCTTCCAGAATGCCAGAAAAAAAACTGGGGAGATGCAAAAGAAGCATTAATAATCGGTACTCTTCACTGGCAATCTTTGTAAGGCTACCATAAAATTAATTTTAGTCTTTTCAGAAGTAAGCTATTAGTACTAAGTAGTGTTTTAACTACAACAAAGCAGCACATGAGTCATCTTAATCACTTATTTCAGTAAATGAAATTAATGCATCTTACCATTGATCCAAAATATAATTCCTAATTTTCAAATAACGCTCTGGTGTTTTGGCCTGGCGCCCTTCAAAAAATTCAGGAATAGCTTGCTTTTCTTCTTCCAGAATGATGCTTCTGTCAACCTCCACTTCTTGATCAGGTGGCTTAAGCTCCTCTGCTTCTTCTTGATGATCTTCATCCACTTGGCAGAGAGAAGGAAAAAGCAATCCATTATCAGCCAGGTCTCTCTGTTCCTCATTAAGCTCCTGATCAGTCACTTGTCTAGTACCACGAGATGTTACTAGCCTGCCTTGTTCAGCTTTCTCAATAAAATTATTGTATTGCTGGTAATCTAAGTTCACAGATTTATCACCATTCAGGTGCTGAGAACATGTTGCTGCAACACCTGGAAATACTAATGCATCCACTGTATCTTGCTTGGTATCTTGAGGATCTTCTTTAGGTAAAGAAATTGCAGAACTGTGTCCAACAGATGAAAAAACATGTTCCATGCCTTTCGTTTCTTCAACTGGACTTTTTGAAATAACAGATAATTCAGATTTTCCAGTTTCTTGCTGGAAGGTAGGAGAAAGTAGTTCATCCATGTCATCAGTTATGTCTACTTCCTCATCGTCTGACAGCTTTTCAATTTTCACTGCGTTCAGGTTGGGGTCTGCACGGCCTCTCAAGTTTCCAGACGACCACGCTTCTACCCTTATCCCATCTTCAATGGGAAGACTGCTACCACACTGACTTTGCTCTTCTTTTTCAGAATCACCATTTTTTGCCTTAGGAAAATATAAAATACTTTTAGGAGGGAAAAAACAAAACAATCCCCTCTGCCTCCCAAACAGAACTGTTTTACTTGAACAGCAGACATTCTGAAGTGTTTCTTTCTCATCTTACCCTTTTAATACATTTGAATCCATTGCAATTGACTTTTACACAGCATTATAGGTACACTTCTAGCCCAAGTGTAAATTAATATGCACTTCCATTAAAAAACAAAAAACAGACAGATTAAAACCAAGCTACATGTACAACAGCATACTTGTCAAACAGCCTTTTTGCTAACTACAGAGATGCTCTGTTTACCTTGTTCTTAAAATACTGCCGAGCATAGCTCTTCACCTGTAGAACAGTACGACTTCCAATCAACTTGGCAATTTTTGTCCACCGGCGGCCAAATTTCACCTAGTACAACAAAGCACATTTACATTACCCAAACTCTAACATTCCACAAATTGCACTTTATGTGCCAAAAGAGTTTAAAAACTCAATTATTCATTACAAATGCACAAACAGTACAGCAAACCTATGGTAAACAGCCTCGCTACTCATATTCTACCAAGAAGAAAACTGCATCCAACAGTAAGTTATTGCTATTCTTCTTAACTAGAGGATCTTCTTCACCCAATTCAGGGACACTGTAAATTATGCTGCCTACTAACCCAAGGAATCTTACTGAAATGAAGATTGTACTTGAAGAAGCAAACCCTATTACATTCACCACTGTACAACCATATAACCTCTGAAGACCTTATAATAGTAGTTAAAGGATTTCACTTTATTAGCTGATTTGCCTTAAGCACGCACTATACTTTCTGTAGTTAACTGCAGCATTATGATTGCACAATCCATAAAGCTGTATATTTGAGATATCTTGTGATCTCAAATTGTAATCAGCCTCACTTGAACAAAATCTGGTAAAAAAAGCCATTTTGGGGTACTCATCAATATAAATCTGATTTATCATTACACTCTTAGTAGATGGCAATTATTTTTAACACATTAGAAGTACAAAACCAGAAGCAGATAAATATAACATGCTTATTTATATTAATTATTATTTTGTTATTTAAGATAAACTAATGACTTCTATTCAAAATATTACATATATAAATAAACTTACCAGTCCTTGTTCAAACAGTTCTTTTTCTCCTGATGTCCACTTTAATGAGTAGCTAGCTGATTTTGTAGGTGATCGCACCCTAGGAAAACAGGAAACAGAAGTTAGTGCTTTCTTAAAAATATATATTCTCAAATTCCAGTAACTGAAGGCAACTTCTGACAGGAGGACTACTCCTCATCTTCTGTAAAACTCGAGGTATTGTTTTAAACCTGAATGCAGCTGATAAATAAAATATTGAAAAATCATTCTCCATCACAAAGGAAGATTCAAGGCAACACAACATTCACCAGTAACTAACAGTACAGAAACACATAGAACCAGCAAACAGAAAAGTTCAGGCCAGAAAGCCAACTAGAATTAACAAGGGTTTTTTTCATAAGGACCACTGTGCTACAAAAACCAAACTGGTTTACTACAGGCCTACTGTTACACACAACAATATTTATTTGCGTTGAAAGGTCTCTTAAATAATGTTGTATAGCCAAAGAAAAGGAACTAAGGAACTGTAACTTTTTTTTTTTTTAAATAGTGTTCAGTAACTTAACAAAAATCAGACACTGCACTTAAAAACGCAACTCAATCATTAAAATGTACGTACATGACTTTTCCAGTTTTCTTATGTGGGCTGCAAATAAAAAACAAAGTGAAAATAAAAATTAATAATTGTGATGCTGTTGCATCTCTCAGCAAATAATCTTATTTTGGAAGGATTTTTCATTTCTTCTCATCTAACTTAGAATTTTTCCCAGAACACAGCTTACCTTTTCATAGATCTTTTCTCCACTTCCTTTTGATTGAGCCATATTTTTTCAGAAATTGATTTATTAGATAAATAATATCTGAAATAGTTACTAAGAAAGTTTTCGAAGCATCAGAGATATTTGTACACATGAGAATTCTAATAATCATATAAATTATATTGGTTCATAATTATTCAGCTGTAGAAGCAGATACTGCACTGCTTTCAAAACTGAAATACACAATTTCACACAGTCCTACTAGTTTAGTGCGTAAGGAAGTGACATTGGACTTCTGAACCCTCATGCTCACTTTACTTGCAGCAAACTAGGTATCCTGTTTCTACATGAGCATTTTTCTTTTTTGACTTAGAAAACATCCTAAAGTAATTTTCATTGTATTGATACCTTATCTATTTTCAAATTAAGCCTCAATAATTAATTCTATTACGAAAACTTCAATTGCTTTATTTTCTTGTTCCTCCATTATTACTATACTCAATTACAAAACGAACATGAAAACAAATTAGCCTTACTATTGCTATAATCTACCTAGTCTGTGAGGTCAACTTACGCCAGAAATGCTACTACTGGTGAGACTATCTAAGTAACACTGCTTAAAAAAAAAAAAGAAAAGAAGAATAAGAAAAAAAAGCAGCAGCTGTTCCTTTCCGTTTTCATCTTGCATGCTGGCAGAAGTATGAATGTAGCCAGACAAAAATCAGAGAGTAAACCAAGTGCAAGTGAAGAACAATTCAGCAAAAAGAACTAGCTATTTTTAGCCAGATCAGCTGTTTGATCAGGTTCACTATGAAGCCACACAAAGAGCTGCATCAGCACGATGCTGGAGGTGGCACTGAACAAGCAGCAAATATTGCTATTTTTGGTGCCAGTGCCAGCTTAAATCCGACAAGCTTTGGAGTAATTTTCTGACGAATCAGAAGCACCAGAGGAAGCTGCAGATAGCTAGATGATTAATTCAAGGGTCCTTCTTGATTTCTGCAATATACCTACAAGATGACAGTGCTTCAGTCACCTTAACAAGACAAGATTTGTCCAGTTCCTTTGGAAAGAGGAGGTTTTCTATTGTTATACAGGAAGACATACAAGCAAATCAGCAAAAGGATACTCTTCTTCCAGCAACATTTTCTCAATGACAGCCCTGTTTTCTTCACTAATGCTGCTGTCCAACGTCCACGGCTGCAAACAATACAAATATGTTTTAATATTTGACTTCTGTCATGCTGTTACTCAAGTATCAAAAATATGTCATAGTTTCTAAAAGTAAACAAAAAGCACTGGTTAAAAAGCTAAAAGAGCACGTACATGGAGGGAAGAGAATGGAGAAAACAGAAGTTCTGATAACCTTGCTAGAAGTACCATTAAATTAAAAAAATACTTACGAGACTGTTATCAGTTCTCCAAGATGAATCAAGATAGTGATCCTGCAGCAAGCTCGAAGCTGTATTTTCATGGTCTCTGAAAAAGATTCCAGTGTTCAAAACAACGCAAACATATTCAAACAGAATGAATGCTGTCAGAGTTAAAATAATGGTGTAGTAAATAACAAAAACATTAACAGAAGATGACAGAATTAAATACTAAAATTAAAATAATATATTGCAGACTATTATGTTACTCTCTTATAATATTCCATTAGACATAGCATGAATCCCCCTCTGTAAGTCATCTTTCTTAGTAATCTCAATAGCAACTCCTCACCTATCTCATTGCAGACTGTATGTGATACCAGTGAAACCCTGAAAAGTAAAAATTCTCTTCCAGAAAAACTGAAAGCAGGAGGGACTGTATAAAATATTCACAAATGAAAGCAGCCAGAATTTTATGGACAAATAAAGAACTATATTTTTAACATTAAAAGTGTCATTGAGTTGTATTACCTCCACTTAACATTTTCCCATCTTTCCCCAAATAAGGTAAAAACACCCCCTTATAAAGAAAAAATTGTTTTCCTCCTGAGAAAAGCTCACACTTACACAAGTTTAACAGAATGCTATCATACAGAATTGTTAGTGCTCTTATGGACTTCATCCAGATTATGCTTGATCTTTTTCTGTAAATAACTACTTATTACTTTTAGAAATCTGTCACTGATTAATATAATTGATCAACTTGCTTCTATTTTAATACAGCATAAATCTGCATATAGTAATTCATATTTTTTTTTTGTCATTCTTTGCTTCCAGAACATTCAGTTTTTTCTGAAGACTAATTAGCCCTATGTCCGTTGCAATGCTACTAAAATTAAATTCACCTACTATTCCAAACTGCTGTGTGCCAGCAGTTCAAATACCTCTTTATAGGTAAGGATAAATCCTCACGTACAGCCAGAAACCCATATAACTCCTGCTTCTCTTGGAGCATATCAAGAAATGGGTCAGATCAATAATCCCCTTTGCCCAGTATTCTGTCTCCAACAGTGGCAACAGTAGATGCAATGGCAACAGCTCTAGGACAGCACGTGAGTCTGGCCACTGTCTGACACAATCCTCTCGTACTCTCCCAGCATCTGCAATTGTTAGATTTGTAACGTTAGAACGGCTGCCCATTCACTTCAGCATCTGTTTACAGATCCCTTACCCGTGAATTTGTTGAACCAGTTTCCTGACCCTCCTTATGTTCAGTTTTCTGAACCTATCTGCCTCCGCAAGTTCACTAACAGTTATGCAACACAGCGCCTCCTGTCTATGTATTTTAAAGGAGTCTCCTAGCAGTCTCATCAAGTGTCCCTAGTTCACGTACTGTTCGATCCGATGACAGCAGCTCAGCATTCACCTCACTTTAATGATTTCATAGGCCCCATTCTCAGTGCCCTGCCCTGCCCTGCTCAACATCGGCGCT